GCTATACACGAATCGTTTCCCAGCACACACACACACACACACACACACACACACACACACACACACACACACACACACACACACACACTCGCACACAAAGTGTACTTTGCTCTATTTCGTCGATTGATTGCACAAATTAAAACGATCTGGATGCAGATACATTTTTAAAATAAATGGATAGTCTCTTTCAAAAATCTGTCTGATCCATATGATTTGATGTCGGGCAATCACTGATGAAATGAAATTAAGTAAATGTAACAACATTCACATATTCGCTTTGTATTATGAAATTGTACAGTATGTGCCTCTTGCATGTCTCTCTATACAATGCTGATGTTATGGTGTGACAACTTTCCCTGCACTCAAAGCATTTTGTGTTACGACTGAAAATCTGTCATTTATCATTTTGCTCTGCGCCAAATAGCCCTCAACGATGAATGCACATTTTTTTCAGAAGGAATACAGCGCATTTTTCTCTTGCTGCTTGCTTTCAAATGTTTCATGTCTTCATGCTTAACAGATTTTGGAAAGATCATTATGAATACAATATTTTTTACTCTTGGTGCAGTGTTGCTCTGAAGCACCCGGTTGTTTTGGCTTTTGCTGCAGATATGGTTCACTGATAGTATTTTAGCTTGCAAAATGTAAAATGTCATCTCAGAAAATTAGTTTGATCCATTGCAGAATCTCTCCTCTTGATGGTGTTTTATGAATGTGTTTTTACAACACTGATGACACTACTGAAAGATAATTTCAGAGTCAATTTAAATGATGTCTTCACAGTAGCGCGAATGGTGGGTTTAACTGACAGTCAGTTGACTCATCATGCTCTGCCCGAATCAACACTGTACATATTGTGGTTGACCACATTGGCTATGTTTACATGCATGATGTTTTTATACGGTTACTGTGGATATTCTATTCTTCGTGTAGACAGTTTAACACAGTGAGTATCCTGGAAGGGTTGGCGGTTATAAAACCTCTACCAGATATTTTGTTTTTGATTCATCTCAGTCATACATGGAGAAATATATATAACCGCGACCCTTGTGAGCATAATCGGATCGGAAAATGGTATATATATAATGTTTGCACCAATCATTTTTTAAAAAATATTCTTTCCACAAATGATGGAATTACATAGAAAGTCAAACTTGTTTTTGGACCAGTGTTTTGAGTAATGAACAGATTTGTGAGCAGCGGTTTTGCCGCAATTGACACGTCACCTGCACCTATTATCTAAATTGCATGTTTTGAAAAATAAGAACCGGAACATGGGCAGTACACTGTGTCAAAGCGAATGTGTTAACAAAGCCTCTTATGATGCCATCCAGGTTTGCCTTCATTATAGAAAGCAGGGTGAGATGGGCCAGAAGGTCTTCTGTCTCTTCACTGGACTGACTGTACTAATGTTGAAAAGAAGTAAAGTGTTGCATTAACTTAAACCTGCCCAGATTGTTGTCTCTTCTTATTTTAGCTTTAAAAATTAAGAAGTTCACCAATAAAGGTGAACGTATTAACAACACATGGGAAACTCAAGACTACTACTGTGAAGGGCGATAATTTAGAAAATGAAAAAAGAAACATTTATTTAAAGCGGAGCGCTGATTGGCCGAAAGACGAGGCACAAAACGTCACGACATAAATATGGAAAGAAAGTAGCATAGTTCTGCACATACTCAGTAATCACCAAGGGAAAATAGCTTTGGCATATTTTATCAGGTAAGCGCCACAGTCACTACATTCTGAATTGCTATTTTAGTTGTTTACTGTGTCAATTGGATGGGTGTGAGTTTGGACAACGGTAGGTTATTTTCTCACTTCTATCAGGTTCTTTATGACATGAAGAAGCAAGCACATTTGAAAGAAGAGCTTTAGACAAGACTTTCCAAAGGCCTTCGTTTGGTTGTGAATATATTGTGGCCACTCGCTTCCTTACCACCAGAGGGCAGCCTTGAAATTTGTTATAACCGTGAAGACGAGGAAACATGATTAGAAAAACAATCTTAAATGTCTTTCTTTTCTTCCCCCCCTCCAAAATTTCGCTTGGAGGTAATTGTTTCTAGTCGTAATTATTGATTTTGAAAAAAAATTATAATTCAGCCAATAATTCACCCAGGGAAAAATAATCCGTTCTTGAAATGAAATATGACATGCAGCATTATGAGGTTCAACAAAATAGGAAAGATGGTATAATCATCTTCCTTGACAAACTAGAGCAAATAAAAAAATAACATGCAGAAACGATTAGTAACATCTCGGGGGCAATGAAAACAAATGTTGATCCTTCCTTAAAAAACACGATCAATCTACCTGATTGATACAGTACAGTACCTTAGTAGTTACTGTACACATAGCACTGATTTATCACCATACTTTACTCCTGGGTTAAGCATCTTGTTTATGTTGACACAGTTACATGTTAACATCAAACTGAATGAGTCTTGCATCTGTCTGCAAAAGGAACAAGTGCAGTATTCAGCTGTTTTCTTGCTGGTGAGACACTTTTTTTTTTGTGCTGCATTGTTCTTTGTGTACTGATGTGTATGTGTGGGCTTACAATACACCATTCCTCTATAAGTTTTTATATGGAAGAGCTTCTGAATGATATACAGCATATGCATATATTTGAAGCCGATAAATATGATTTAATGTAAGCTAGTTGCAAAGCTGTTGGAAATGTCTGCTGAGGACCAAATCCATATACGGCCCCCTTGACTGTTCCTAAGTGCCAAATCATATGCTATGTTAATTTGAACATCTCTAAACTGCATTTTCTCATGATTAGGACCCACTGTAATTTAAGGCTCAGGAGATGGGTCCTTAATGTATCCCCATTGAATGTGATTAGTTTACAATATTTCACACTCAGACAGTCCTAAGTCTAATGGCAGAGATAGTGATAATTGCCTTACAGCCTGTTTCCTGCCCTCTATCAATTGCTTCCACTAGACTCCATCAATTTTCTTCTGTCTGCTTCTGCAATAGCTCCACTCAGACATCCTCTCTCACTCCGACGGGCAAAGCTGTTATTCCCCTGGTGTTCTGCAACCTATTTGCGTTGTACAATGTCTTTTCCGCGAAAAATATTGGTTGGTCAGATCTCCTATCCAGAGTTAGCCCCACTTGAAGTGGCCTCCATGCCGAAATGTTATATAACCCCCTTGCTTCTCCATCAGCAATTAACATAAGCCTGAACTTACAAAAGAAATTGAATAGCATTATTTTGACCACTCTCTTTAATTTACAAGACAACAACATCATGCGGGAGAGCATGATCATTTGGTCATTTTAAAAGCTAATTGTTTATATGCTGTTATGTTTGGTGTTGAGGGTTATGGTTGGTTAAGGTGGATTTTGTAAAGATGAGGGGGGTTAATGCTTCAGGTCCATGTTTGTGGTGTTCAGTTTAATTGTAAGACAAGATGGTGTCTGTGTGTTTACAGCTTTACAGACCAAAATCCTTGCTATACTGTACTGTAGCACATTTCCTTACTGTCTAAATGTACAAAAAGAGTACCTCCTTTTTCATCTTTGCCCCTGTGCTACTTGCTTCACCAATCAGCCCGCCCGCCACTCGGGTCCATTTATCATGAGTTAGGAGTGGAGATACTGAAGGAAGGTGGAGGTGAGGAGGGAGCACCTAGACCCTATCGCAATGTGTCTCTCTTGACAAAACCTGGAGCCGCTCAAGGATAATGAATTCCCTCTTCCTGTCCTTTAACCTCTTCTCCGAGAACAGGGTTGGGTAACCACAAAGAGAGAAACTTTCACAAGTATGTCCTTTGTGTGATTATCGGAGCAGGCTTGGAGTAAAAACATGTTTATTTATTGTGTTAGCACAGTCAATTTCCAGCTTCTTTCATCTTAGGACAGCTGGCTAAAGTAAAACGTCTCCTTTCTCATGAGCACCTTGAGACAGTAATTCACGCCTTCGTCACATCCCGGCTTGACTACTGCAATGCACTTTACTTTGGAGTCAACCAATCCTCCATTAAGCGTCTCCAGCTGGTCCAGAATGCTTGCCTCTTGACCGGTACTCGTAAGAGGGAGCACATACCTCCTACTCTGGCATCCCTTCACTGGCTCCCGATACATTTTAGAGTTTTTTTCAAGATCCTATTATTTGCCTTCAAATCTTTAAATGACCTCGCGCCACCTTACATCTCTGAGCTCATCCGCCCCTACACACCTGCCCGGCGCCTCAGGTCTGCGGACCAGACATTATTAGAAGTACCAAGAACGAAACGGAGGCTCAGAGGGGATCGAGCCTTTTC